TAAAGCGTTTTTTTATTTATTTTATTTGTTTGTTTATTTTTTTATTGAAATATAGTCCGTTTACAATGTTATGTCAATTTCTGTGTACAGCACATTGCTTGTCATACATGAATATATATATATTAATTTTCATACTCTCTTTTACCGTAAGCTACTACAAGGCATCGAATATAGTTCCCTGTGCTACGCAGTATAAACTTGTTTATCTACTTTATATATACCAGTCAATATCTGCAAATCGCGAACTCCCTAAAGCAGTTTCTCCCAAATTCCCAATAGGTCCCTAACCTTTTGAAGAGAAAATTCTGAGCCGAAAAATAGTCAATTGACTTTTCAGAAAGTGATATACTCCCAGAAAATTCCGATTTCCATATGTATTCCCCAAGGAGTTTTGTGTTAAATAACGTGGTTCAGAAGTAGTCATGCAACAAAGGAATTATAGATGCTTTCCATGTGCAGACAGAAATTGTGGTAGAGAACACACTTGAAATAAATTCAAGAAGTCTTGTGGCTGTCTCCTTTTTTTAATCATCTTTTTTCAATACTATATAGCCAGTTCTTATTCGAGCACTTCATTTAGACAAGAAATTATATTACACAGCAAACCTATTCATAAGATTATTTTAGATTAATATTTCTTTGATCACAATGGAATATTTTTCTTTGAAAAAAACTTAAAAATCATATATTACTTTTTCTTCAAAAGAAATTTGTGGCTGCCATATGAAATGCTTAATATGAGAGCAAGAAATGCCTTTATAGGAGTTATCTGGTCCCTTTTTGAGGTAAATTAACCCTTGAAGAGAACTGACAATGAACTCTGCCATGTAGTCTGTGTTCTTGCAAATCATATTAAAGGATTTGTATTCATTTGTGTTAGGTAAACCAGTTGTCTCCTGTAGAAATGTTCATTAAATGGCAACAACAAAATCATGATAATATTAGATTCTGTTTGCACCTAAGTTCCACCTCCATGCTTGTTCCTTTAGATGTTAAGAACAATCAGTTTAATACTTACCTTACAGAACTGCTGTGAGTTAATACATGTAACAAAATAGAACAGCTGGAGTCTGGATTCAGTAAATACATGCTGTTATGAAGATCATTCTCACTGCGTTATTAAAGAAAAACGAAAATGCCTAGTAGCATTATTTTTGCTAATGAGAAGTGTGCTTTTCAGATTAACATTTGGCATTCTGTTTCCTCTCACGTTTACGATTT